AGCTCTCCACACGACGCATGCGCACATCTGGCCGCGTCCTTCGCCCAACGGTAATTCATTCATTCATCCGTCATCATCTCCGCGGTGCGTCCGTTTTCACAAATGTTTACGCGTCAGCCCGCTGGAATGAATAATGGCCTAATGGATGGGGAAGGCGGATGACAAGTGTAAACCTCAGGCCTCTCGGAATTCCGCTGGTGTCAAGCGCCCATTGATTATTAACGGCGGGGTGATCGATGGCCTCGCTGTGTTGGCCCTTCCGCCATCTCACGCGGCCATCAAGTCCCCCAGCATGCTGCCTTCGCGGAGCGGTCCATGAAGCTCCCAGGTGCTGGAGCGTCCGACCGCTGGCCGGGACGTGGCAGCTATGTGTGTCTGCGTGCCAGAATCTTACCGTTGTGAATCGTCTTCGGCGATTGGTTGGCAACGGGCCAGGGATGTCCGGCTGAACAAAAGAGCTCGTGTCACGGTATCGCGTGGCCGGTTAAAAATGAGTCGGTGAAAGTTTATGCTGTAGTACGTGTTGCGCTGAACTTGTTCTGCCGGACTGGCTGGGTTGTGGTTGTCTCACCATAGCCTATGCCTGGTGATAGCTCGGGATACCAAAACCGTTCCAGCAAGGCTTTCCGTTAGTTTTCTGATAAAGAAGGGTTTGGGCGTGTTTATGTGTAACCTGGCCGCAATCATCGATGCATTGAAAATTCCCTGGGTGTATGAAATTCTTGCTCCGTACGAAGCCGTCCTGGGAGGTGTAAAGTCTGATTTTCATTCTCATGCGTAGTTCTGCTACGCAAGCAGTGATTTCGCCGGCGGTCCCGTCTCTGATGAACCCAGTATTCTTGGGCACCCGTCATGCTTTTTACTTCGTATCCTGAGCTTTGCGCTCTGGGTGATTATGACCTGTTGTGTAATTTCACGGTTGGAGATTGCACTTGTTGTTGATTGGAGTTTATTGGTTTCCTCCCATGCGCCGTTGCGCCCTTTTTGATATCCGTCGACACGTTTTTTATGATTGCCCTAAATGTGTGCTGGCGTTCGCGTCGTACCTAGTGACGTCATTTATCGACTGGCCGCATGTCAGCTGATTCAGCCGCCTGTTGACAGGAAGGAGTGTGTGCGTGTTTGGAGGACGCGGCGGAGCGTTGCCTTGCCAACCACCGACAAAGCGTAGACTCTAGGCTTAGCTCTAGACTGCCGAGCCCGGCCAAGTTTTGGGTGCGGGAGGCAGGCTCGGGATCGTGGTCTATCCAGATCTGACGAATCGTATGGGCAGGGAAAAGGGACGCAACTTTTGAACCCGGCAACCTTTGAACCCGGCAACCCGTCACACACACAACACAACACCGAACACGGCTCGGCATGAACCGGATGGCTTTTGGCCGGGCTGTCAGTCAGCTGGACTTGGCAAGCTTATGGCAAGCAAGCAAGCTAACCTTAACGTATAAGGAGTACAATTTTGCGTTTTGCTCGTGCTTAAGCCCTAAATTAGATTTCGTAATGTCACACACAGTGCATCTATGAGCGAATACTATTTTGTTTTTTCTGGTAATGACCCTAGTGTCAACATTCATGGCAGGCATCACACACCAGTAATCAAGGTTTAACAAATTGAAAATGTTATGCAAACCGCTCACTGTGGGGGCGGCCGATAGTGGAGTGGTTCACGAGTCTGCGTCAACCACGACACGTCTGGGAAGCCGGAGGTACGGGGTTCGATTCCCCGCGGCGCCTCATAGTGAGAGGCAGGCGACGCCATAAAGCCCAAGCAGCTGAGTGCATCATAAAGCCTCCATGACGACCTCTCACCCTGAAAGTCGAGAACTATTCAAGTTGTCCAGGCTTAGCCTGATGTCGTTGAGCAGTTTGTCAGGCAGGTCCTTGATGCAAACACAGATATCTTTAAGGCTTGGCTGTTGGTGCTAAGTACACTCAAATTGCATCTTCCACACACGCCATGGTTCAAAATCAATACCAATGATTAATAAAACGACAAGAAAACTGTGTAATTGTTAGTATTGCGCATACTATAACAGAACGCGCGGTAACGGCCGTTCTGAAGGGAAACAGGATTCGTGGCAAGACGAAAATGTGGATCATTCGAAATATGTTGCTCGATATTCGTTCCGCACTGGTATATGTAGGTTCGCGTTTCGACAGCCAGCAAGAACCAACAGCCTGAATTTCTTGAAACCCGATTATGCCGTTGCGACTATTGTGACGCATTTGAAAGCTGTGATGCAGACAGACTGGAAGTGTCCAATTCTGGCGTCATTGCCGTATACCTAATGCGTCCACTTTTCTAGGACTGTTCTTCATTTGTGGTCGTGTGCAGTGTAACGAACTGAGAAGATTACGCATGATTCGAAATATCCAGCGTTACTCTTTGTCGTTGCAAATCCACTACTTAATGCAGACAATTTTAGAAATGCGGCCTACCCCTTACTGGCATAAGGTAGTAGGTTAAAATTTCTAGCACATTTTCTAGGGGGAAGTGTCCCATTCAGATTCCATCCTTTTCCTTCTCATCTATGTTTTGAGAATGATATCACAGCTGGGCTTCCAATGACCATCGCAGTCGATGCGCCGTAAAACTACTAATCATTACCCTGGCATGGTTTTTTAGATGGTAACGGCATTTAATAAATTTAATCGTTCAGGCGCTTGAATTGCTGTTGTCTCATAACTGGTATTAGACAACAAAAGCTGCGCATTAGAGACACTGATACATGTTGCATTGTTGTTTCATTCATAGGTCTGGATCATTAACAGTGAATTACAAAATACAGATTACATTAAACTCATTATTTACGGGTTAATGCCGGTCCATCATGGTAGCACAGCGGGCTTTTGAGGGCTGGATCACTAGCTGGTAGCGGCGGCGGGGGGGGGGGGGGGGGGGGGGCAAAATGGCCGTAGTAGTCGGCGCGCCCTGAATCATCATCATCATCATCCGGAGCTGGCCAGGCAGTGCGGGCTGCAGGGCTCACATTTTGGAGAAAAAGCTGCGTCTAGACCAGGGCATGGCAGAGTTTCGTGGCATCCGTGTTCAGCTGAGGGTCACCAGTGGCATCCATATTCGGCTTCGGGCCACCAGTGGCATCCCTGTTTGGCTTCGGGTCACCAGTGGCATCCCTGTTTGACTGAGGGTCACCAGTGGCATCCGTGTTCGGCTGAGGGTCAACCAGTGGCATCCGTGTTCGGCTGAGGGTCACCAGTGGCATCCATGTTCAGCTGGGGGTCACCAGTGGCATCCGTGTTTGGGTGAAGGTCACCAGTGGCATCCGTGTTCGGCTGTCGGTCACCAGTGGTGTCTGTGCTTGGCTGGCGATTGCCAGCAGCATCCGTCTTCGGCTTTGGGTCACCAGTGGCACACCCAGTTGGCGGTGGGCCCCCTCCCCCCCGTGGCTGGCGCCGCCTCGGAGGTCGGCGCCGGCAATGCGAGACGGAAATAGCAGCCAGCTCTGTTCCTTCCTGTCGACAGAGCTCCGTGAGTCAGACCTTGCCCCGAAATAGGCCCGCGGGCGGCTATCCGCCGGCCCTGACATCTAGCGGCTGGGATTGCAACCTGTAACCGGCGGGCGGCGGCGCAACACTGCCATCTAGCGACCGTTCCCGCGGCGCGCTGGGGCGGTCCTGTTAAGCTGCCACTCCCGGCTCTTCGCCAGCTGGGAATTGATGTTAAGTGTGAAAGTCTACGGGTGGGCGCATTTATCGTGGTGCGGAGAGATTCGGGTTTGGTGTAACTCAGGAAGCCTCCAGTGGCCTGGCGCCGTGTCCGCCGGGAGTGTGGCGAATCTCGTCCTTGGCGGTTGTATTCGCGGATAGGTGATGTAACGGGTATTGGCTCGCGTCCGGAGAGCTCATTGATTGATCAGCTTTTAGGTATCACTCTGGATACCAAGCCGTTTTAGGCTGCCGTGGTGGGGGGATATGAGTCTGCGGGACTTATGACGCAGGGTTTTTGTATGGGATAGGTGTCCCGTAATGTGCCCAATGCACCTGCTGTCCGAGATGGGAAGAACATCTGACATTTGGCGGGAGAGGTTTGACCTGACACTGAACGACTGGTCCCGGGGAGCTTAACGGAAAGAAGAAGATATCTCCGTAGTCCGGCTGATTAAAAAGGCTGGAAAAAACGATTCGCTGAACTGCGCGCGCGCGCGCGCACGCACACGCACGCGCGCACGCACGCACGCACGTGCAAACACGCACGCACGCGCAAACACGCACGCACGCGCACGCACGCACACGCATGCACGCACGCCGCACGCACGCACGCACGCACGCACGCACGCACGCACGCGCACACACACACACACACACACACACACACACACACACACACACACACACACACACACACACACACACACACACACACACACACACACACACCACACACAACACACACACAAACTGTTCAGAACAGGAACTCTAATTCGAAGGATAGCTCATCCAGCGAATGACGTTCAAAAGCAGGCGTGGCCAGACCGCCGCAGCGTCCGAGACCGTCTCTCCCCCACCCCCCACCCCCCCCCCCCCCCCCCCCCCCCCACCCCACATTCGAAAAGCCCGGTCGTGAGCGTGCTCGGCTTCCACGTGTGGGGCTCGGGTTCTGTTCCCCGCCTGGCGCTGGTGTCCCTGGGCTCTGATGTGACCACTGTAGTCACCAGGGATCCGTGGACGGTTGTGCGACGGCTTATGCCATGCGTTCTTACGAAATGAAGCGAAATTATCCCGCACTGACCCCAGACCCTAGACCCCTTGACCCCTTGCTCCTGGCCCCTGACTGCTGACCACTGACTACCTGGCACCGAATCCCTAAACCCTGATCCATGGCCCACTGATATTTGACACCTGACGCTTGACCACTGACCCTTGACCCCGTGACCCCGGACCCTTGAACCCTGACTCTTGATCCCGGACCCCTTCGACCCTGACCCCAGAACCCCGGCCGCTGACTGCTGACCGCTGACCCCTGACCCTCGGCGTGACCGCAGGCGTTCCGTTCCCGCCCAGCCACAAGCTGACCTGCGCCGAGGTGTTTGACCCCGACGTCGGGCAAGCCGCGACCCGAGGCGTTGAAGCAGCACTTCGTGCTGGAGGGCCGCATCGAGGAGTCGGCCGCGCTGCGCATCATCAACGACGGCGCCTCGCTGCTGCGCTCCGAGAAGACCATGATCGACATCGAGGCGCCCGTCACAGGTCAGGCCATGGGTCAAGGATCGAGGTCGCCGGTTGTCGGGAGCGGTCAAGTGTTTGGCGGAGGTGCTTTGCGTTCGGTGTTCTTTTGTTCTGTCTTGTTCAGCGCGGAATGTGATCTGTCCTGATCACCGTTCTTTCCGTGTGTGCGTGGTGTGTGCGTGCGTGCGTGTGTGCGTGCGTGTGTGCGTGCGTGTGCGTGTGTGTGTACGCGTGCGCGTGCGCGTGCGTGTGTGTGTGCGCCCTGGATCCTGCGGTGATGGGTGACGCCGCGGTCGGGGCCTACGGGAGACCTCCCATGGTTAGGGCCTATTGCGTGGTCAGATAAGGTGAGACCATGTGCCACCTCACAGTCACGGTCGGGAGTGCCATGTCGTCTGGCAGGGCCAGGAGCCAGACATTGTGACGGACGTGGGCCAACGATCAGTGATCGCGGCTGTGATCTCTGATCTCTACGCTATTGAAGTCGCTGCTACCGGTGGTCGCAATGCAGTCGTCAGGTGTCGTTAATGCAGTGGTAATACAGTCGTCAAGTGTCGTCAATACAGTCGTAATATAGTCGTCAAGTGTCGTTTATTGTGGTCAGGCATCACGAAGCGTAGTGGCGCTCAGCGGCGGTGGCCAGGGGCCGTGCCGGGTGTCAGGGTGGGGTGGAGCGGGGCCGATGTTGACAGTCCTCGCGTGGAGGTGAGAGCCGGCCGCCGTGTGGGGCGCCGGCCTCAGCTCACGGCAAGGTCGAGAGGTCACCGTGTCGGGTCGGACTGGGTCCGACCCTGCGTCTGTGTCGTGTTGTCGTCACACGTGTTACGATAGCCTAGCCAGGTGGGCATTGTTATCATACGTAGCGTGAGAGTGCTGCTCAGTTATTTTTTGCCACTAAATATGGTATATTTAGTGCGGTTTCGTTGTTGCTTGGTGAGCTTACCGGTTTCTTTGGTTGCGTCGCCATGCTGCGCTGTCTTGAATTTATAGGATCTTGTTCCCGTATGGATTTGTTCAGCGACGAGATGTAAAAATGATTCCATTTACTGATTACTGAAATGTATACCGCCTGGCGTTCAGCCAACGCTGTGCGACTCGGCACACTTCGCAGTTTTTCGCACTCTACAACTCTGCATCTCTTCGCAATCCGCTGTTTCGCGCACTCTGGGGCTGTGACCGTCCCGCAGCTCTGGAAAGACCACGTCTCCACGCATGACTCCGCACACATCACACAGCTCCGCACACATCACACAGCTCCGCACACATCAGACAACTTCACACACATCACACAGCTCCGCACGCATCAAACAACCTCACACACACATCACACAGCTCATCACGCATCACACAACTTCACGCACATCACACAGCTCCGCACACATCAAACAACTTCACACACATCACACAGCTCCGCACGCATCAAACAACCTCACACACATCACACAGCTCATCGCACATCACACAACTTCACACACATCACACAGCTCCGCACACGTCACAGCGCTGCGCAGGCCGCAGTTGGGCGAGTTGGGCGAGCAGGCCGCAGTTGGGCTAAGCCCGGGCAGCCTGTTGTATCGCGCGACCCTTGCCACCTGACCGTGCGGGCGCACACTGACCCCGGCCTGCCTCGGCAGTGTGCGGTGACATCCACGGCCAGTTTTACGACCTGATGAAGCTGTTCGAGGTCGGTGGGCCGCCGTCCAGCACAAAGTACCTGTTCCTCGGCGACTACGTGGACAGGGGATACTTTAGTATAGAGGTGAGCGACGCCGCCAGCGAGGGTGGTGCGGTGGGCAGGCTGTGGGCAGCGTGACCTGGTGGATGAGCGCCACGGCCGAGTTAGTGACGCCGTCGGCCCCCACGCGGCGGGCCCCGGTTCGGAATCCCGGTAGGGCCCTGGTCGATACATTCGCTGGCGCTTCCTGACAGGATGTGTGACAATGTTGCGCCGCACGTCCCTTTAAAAGTGCGCGGACTGGTAGTACTGGCGTTGGAGGGGACTAGCAAAGACTGTATAGGTTTGGCTATGCGGACTAGGAATGTCCTGTAAACATGGCCGAGTAGATGTCATTGCTCAGCAGACGCTGGGCTGCTGTCGCGGAGCACTGCTGCGGGATTTGACGGGGTGCCAAATGACCAATGCAGTCGACGCGCCAGAAAACGTCAACAAACAGCAAACTGAGGCGCTTTTGGCGACTTACGCGATCAGCGTCCGCTGGCCGGCTGTATGACGAGTGCCTCGCAGTGCCGATTGTAAACCCCGGGGGCGGAGCCGCTTGGAGATTTCGGCGGCATTTGAGGCCCTCACGCAGCTCGCATCCACGTGCCCAGGGGATATTTTGTGAGCATCTCAGCTTCCTGTTCGTCCCAATTACCATTCCCTCCTATGTTCAACGTGGAGCCGTTATAATCACTGACGTACGGTCCCCGGTAAGTGGCGACTCCACAGTTGTGGGATTTTTAATCGCTTTCCGCTTATTTGTCGGCGTGAGAACCGTTGCGCTCGGTGACGGCTCTGTATCTGTATGCTGGCAACAGCTAAAACTTTGTGCCTGTTTGTGATAAAGCCTCTGGAGTGCCGGCTGCGCCGCCGTGCTCGACTGCGGTACGGTACAGTCTAACCTGCCCGGCGGCGAGGACCACGTGTTTTTAAGTGCGGGTTGCTGGGTTTTGGGTCAGTTCGGGCTGTGTCGGGCGTGGCGAGTTTGACCTGTTTGACCTTGATCCCTTTGCGACCCGGGTTGACACTGCTCGAACAGTTACGGCGGCCCAGAAGTTGAAAATGTAAAATTTTATGACTCGGACCATGCGAACACAAGTCAAGGTCGGAATTATATGCTTTGGAGACATGCTACCCCGTTTCGGAGTTACAAAACATCACCTCTGGCGGTTGTATCACTCGTTCTAACTCTGCACGTTTACCTCGTGTTGGCGAAACCGATCTGAAGTCGTGACGACGTGGAGCGCACTGCTGGCGCATGGAGCTCCTGCTGTATGAAAAAGGAGGTTGGGCTGTCGTGGTATAATCGTATCTGATCGCATGTTTATTTTCTTCACCACTTCCAGTCGCTTCTCCTGTTCTTGCTCGCGCTTGTGCCGATCGTTCTGCACTGCCAACGTCGCTTGTGAGTCGATTGAGTCGATTGAGATGAGTCGATTTACACCACGGCGCCGGTCTCGTTTCAGTGCGTGTTGTATCTATGGTCATTGAAGTTGAACCATCCGACGACACTGTACCTGCTCCGCGGAAACCACGAGTGCAGACATCTCACCGAGTACTTCACATTCAAACAGGAGTGTAAGTGAACGCCTTGCGTCGCCGCGCCGATACGTCATTTCAAAAACGGCTCGCTTCCAAACGCGTAGAATTATGACGTTCATTGAGAAGTTTCTTGGCGTGTCGGCTTGCTGTGGTAAAAGTGCGGTTAATTTCTTTGGAGCGGTGTTCAATGGAGGACACCAGTTTGCCGCGTGGAATTCTGTTCTTGTATTTTAGAGATGACATTGTAGGCCTTTGTATTGTAGGTCATTGTAGGTCATTGCCATTGTAGGTCATTGTAGGTCATTGATGACGTTGAGGTCTTGCATTGTAGAGATGACTCTGTGTGCTCTGTGTGCTCTGTGTGCTCTAGAGTGATCTGATACAGCCGACGTGGTTCCGGGGGCGCGCCGCGCGAGTAATGTTCATGACATGCGTGGCAGTCGGACATCGGCCTCCACGATCTAGCCCTCAGACGGAAGTAACACGCCTAGTGTTCAGCACTGCTCAGACGTGAATAGTCTGTGGGAGAACAGCGGCGGTGTAAGCCGACCGGTCAGCCGCGACAGTCCGTCTGTGACACGAACTGAAGAACAGGCCGTGGCGTTGTGGCGTTATTCTGTGACTTGTGTGATCTGATATACCGACCCCTGACCCGAGGTGGCTGACCTCTGACCTGAGGTCCCTACCTCTGACCCGAGGTAGCTGACTTGTTACCCGAGGTGGCTGATATGTGACCCGCCGTCCGCCGCCAGGCAAGATGAAGTACACCGAGCGGGTGTACGACGCCTGCATGGAGGCCTTCGACTGCCTGCCGCTGGCGGCGCTGATGAACCAGCAGTTCCTCTGCGTCCACGGCGGCCTCTCGCCAGAGATACACACGTTAGACGACATACGCAAGGTGGGCTGCTCACGAGGGAGGGAGGGAGGGGGGGGGGAAGACACGGGGCGCGACCGGGCGGAAGTGGCCCCCGGCGTGTCCCGCGTTGGCCCGGCGCCAAGGCTGCTCTCCTGGGCACCGCTACAAAAAAAGTGTTCATCTATTAGAAAACCGCTACATGCGCATCCATCGTCAATTACCGTCGTCTTTTCGTCTGTCATCTCACCTGTTGCAATGTCTCATCCTCCACAGCACATTTCAACCGGAGCTTCCACGGGCTTCTTTTCCGCTAGAGTTCGCTGTCCGCACTCTGCACCACGGCCTGCGCCAGCTGGGTCCCACGCGCAGTGCCTGGTTTCGTTTGAGGGACACACTTACGTTCTCTAGACATGGCACCAGCGCAGTCCGATGTTGATCGACCGATGTGCTCTCAGGAGGGCGCCAGTGTCCTCGTGCTCCTGCCTTCTCGTGACTGGACGGTGAAAATACCGGCTACTGGTCACGTTTGTCCCCCTAATTTCCAGACTCAATGTTTGCACGGTCTGGGTTTCTGGGTAACATGCTCCCTATACACGCCGTTCAGTTTTGGTCTCTTCGGTTCAGCGCCTGGTTGAATGTCACACTTGAAGTGCTGTCTGTCCTCACTGTTATCTCCGTAATTGCAGGTTGGAATCAGCATGTAATCGCTGTCCACTTACATTATTTGCGTCGGACAATTTGGTCTGGAAACACCATACAGCGTATGCGTGCTCTGTGTGCCATATGACCAGACCTGGTCTGACCTGGCTTCATCAGACCAGACCTAACCAGACCAGACTAGACCAGACCAGATCTGACCTGACCTGACCTGACCTGACCTGACCAGACCAGACCAGACCAGACCTGACCTGACCTGACCTGACCAGACTATACCAGCCCTGACCTGACCTGACCTGACCTGACCTGACCTGACCTGACCTGACTAGAACAGGCCTGACTAGATCTGACCTGACCTGACCTAACCAGACTAGGCCAGACCTGATCTGACCTCACGTGATCTGGTCAGACCTGACCAGACCTGGCCAGACCTGACCAAACCTGACCTGATCCAATCTGGTCTTACTAGACCAGACCCCATCTGATCCGATCTGACCCAATCAGACCTAATCTGACCTGATTTCTCCGCAGCTGGATCGCTTCAAGGAGCCTCCGGCGTTCGGTCCCATGTGTGACCTGCTGTGGTCGGACCCGTTGGAGGACTTCGGTAACGAGCGCAACTCCGAACACTTCACCCACAACAGCGTGCGCGGCTGCTCGTACTTCTACAGGTGAGACGGCTCCAGGTGATCCTGGAGCTCCCCTGGGTGATTCTGTTGCTCCTCCGGGGAACCTGGAGCTTCTCCGGGTGATCCTGGAGCTCCTACGGGTGACTCTAAAGCTCCGAGTGATTCTGGATCTCCTCTGAGTGATCCTAGAGCTCCACCGGATGATCCTGGAGCTCTAGGTGATCCAAGAGCTCCTCCAGGTGAACATGGAGCTCCTCCGGGTGATCCCGTAACTCCTCCGGGTGATCCAAGAGTTCTTCCACGTAATCGAGGAGCTCCTCTGTGTGATTCTGGAGCTCCTCCGAGTAGTTTTGGAGCTCTTCTGTATGATCTTGGAGCTCCTCCGGGTGATCCTGGAGCTCCTCCGGGTGATCCTGGAACTCCTCTGTGTGATCGTGGAGCCCTCCGGGTGATTCTAGAGCTCCTCCGGGTGATTCTGGAGCTCCTCCGGGGTATCATGGAGCTCCTCCGGGTGATTCTGGAGCTCCTCCGGGTGATCGTGGAGCTCCTCCGGGTGATCCAAGAGCTCCTCTAGGTGATCGTGGAGCTCCTCCGGGTGATTCTAGAGCTCCTCTGGGTGATTCTGGAGCTCCTCCGGGTGATCTTGGAGCTCCTCCGGGTGATCCTGGAGCTCCTCCGGGTGATCCTGGAGCTCCTCCGGGTGATCCTGGAGCTCCTCCGGGTGATCCTGGAGCTCATCTGTGTGATCCTGGGGCTCCTCCGAGTGACCATGGAGCTCCTCTGTGTGATCATGAAGCTCCTCCGGGGGATTCTAGAGCTCCTCCGGGTGATCCCGGAGCTCCTTCGGTCCGGTTGTGTGGCAGCCCGGACCGTTCAGGTCATAGAGGTCACGTGGCGAGCATGTATCGTTGAGACTTTGGTCCGATCGCTTGCCTCTGTTGATAGCCTCTTTGACGGAGCCACAGGTGCTGTGACCGCAGAGTTCGTGTCCCTGTTGTATTCGGTATCATGTGTCGCCACTGATCACCGCACGTACACACGCGTCGAGAGAGAGTGGAATGCTTGAGAACTTAGATGTCTTGCCATTTGGAAAACCTGTACATGTCGTGCCGCCATGCCCGGAACTGGCCCTGGTAGCGGTTCCGTCAGCTGACGCTCCTCTTTTGTCGCCAGCTACGCCGCCTGCTGCGACTTCCTGCAGCAGAACAATCTGCTGTCCATCATCCGGGCTCATGAGGCGCAGGACGCCGGGTGAGTCAGCTGTCCCTGGGCGCCCCTGTCCCTGAGAGTCAGCTGTCCCTGGGCGCCCCTGTCCCTGAGAGTCAGCTGTCCCTGGGCGCCCCTGTCCCTGAGAGTCAGCTGTCCCTGACCGCCCCTGTGCCTGAGAGTCAGCTGTCCCTGAGGATCTCTGTCCCTGAGTCAGCTGTCGCTGACCGCCCCTGTCCGTGGTAGGTGCCGTCCGTGAGTGTTTGTGTCCTGACACGTGTCGTTTCTGAGTGTTACGTCCCGGAGACGAGTGAGGTCCCTGAGCGCCTCCACCCAGTGTGAAGGGGCCGACCCTGGCGGTCCTATCCCTGTCAGGGATGTGGACCTGACCTGACTTGCTCCCTGACCGTCCTATCCCCGCTACACATTGTGTCAGTGATGCCTATGATGATCGCCGCTGGCAAAATTGTCTCTGACTCGCCGAAGGGGAGAGGGGAGGGGAAACGCCAGAGCGAGACGGAGTATTAGGGTAGCGGGAGGAGGGACGTCCGCACGGGTCCGAACGGTGTTGAACTTCAGAGGGCATTGACATGAGTTGTATTCATGTGAGACATGACATGAGACATGAGACATGTATTGTATTTGTTCCACGCCGCGGCGCTCGAACCGTTGACCGAACCCATGTATACGCTTTGGTCGGCCGTTTTGAAATGCATTCCATGTGGCAAGATCGTTTGGTTATGTGCG